TACTCACATTGTACTAGGGACCAACCTGGCTAATTTCTGTCTCGAGTGATTGCAGCAAGGGTTCTGCAGCCTTGATACATAAAGAAATGAATGCAAGATCATTGACAAAGTCATGGTCAGTGTTGAGAGAAATACGCAGAACGTATTTCGGAACAACTATAAACAGAAAAGGAGCAATTGCGTCGACTTGTACAACTCCTGCTTTAACTTTGAATGAATCAGTCTCGCCATTAGGCGATACAATGGTCGCAGTGGTGTTTCTGTACAGAGCTCTAATTACCTCAACAATTCTGGACTGTATACTAAAAAGATTATATATATATATATATATATATATATATATATATATATATATATATAATTATTTAAGTAACGAAAATCTTGGTAATCCGTATGGATAATCCCAAGGAGGATGAAATCCTGAGAGTTCAGTGTTAATTCAGAGCGAATAATTTAATTTAAAGAAAAACAGACATGTGTGTGTGTATATATAATTTTACAAAAACCCCACCACACGTATATACACACATGCGAGGAAATAGTATTCACTGGAAAAATAGAAAAATGACATGTATACATTCACGAGACATTCACGAGAAATTTTCGCTACACTTCCAATCTTTGAATTTCAACATACAAATGCGTATGTATGGACACAACGCCACCCGTATACATACATATATCAAATCCGAAACTGTCCACATATGTTTATATATGTATGAGTGCCGACGGACGACAAAATGTGTATGTGTGTTTGCGTACTTCATTAGGCGTATGAACATACATCGATGTTTGCGTTAGCACGATGACATCACGACGACGTTTCCCACCCCCTTCCATAATAACACCAATACACGCAATCTACATAAACCCAAAATTTTAAAAAAATAATCAGTTTGTCTGACGATCGCAAAAGCGTGAAACCCAGAGTCACAAACTCACATCAATCCAACCAAATATATATACTCTTTAACTCGGCATGACTTACCGATATAGACACGGATAACAGAGAGTCACTCGAGGTACAATCTCGTGCATTCAAGCGAAATTTCTTTTGTCCTAGATCTCTCGATGTTTTCCATATCTATACATTTTCCCATTCATACGTAAACAAAGAGAATTTTAGAATGGATTTTTTTTATTAATCAGACAGATTTTTATCCTTTTAAACGTTATATTTAGTAGATGCTCATATCAAAGTAAGCGCTCTGTTTATTTATGAAAGAACAATATATTTATTTATTTCGTCTACCGGGCTGAATGTTCAAGAAATCATATCAAAACAAATTAGAGCTCTTCATCAGGAATCGAACCTGCGTCCCTTAGGGCAAAGGGTACTACCGTTTAGTCCAATACGCGTTTTTATAGCGAAAAATTTTATTATTTCCTTAAATAGCATAGATGTCAACATCTTATTATGAAAAAGGCCGAAGGATATCCGAGGAACTTTTCGACCAATCATTCGTCAGAGAAAATCATTGGCAAGATTATTATTATTATTATTATTATTTTAACAGGAATAACGAAAAACACTTTCAGGGGACTAAATGGGAGAAGGAAACCGTTGCACGATTAAAATATAAAATCGTAACAAGCAAATTTGGTAAATTACTTCACTTTTGTAAAGATGAAAACGAGTAAAATTGATAAAAAAAAAACTTGAGCAAGGCATCAAAAATCATTTAAAACAAAACTTAATTTGAATATTTCTGAGACCCATCTCCTCTGCGTGTATGTGCAGTTAAAATATATATATATATATATATATATATATATATATATATATATATATATATATATATATATATATATATATTTTGGTTGGATAGATGTGAGTTTGTGACCCTGGGTTTCACGCTTTAGTGATCGTCAGACAAACCGTTATATTTAGTGGATGCTCATGCTTGTCTGACGATCGCTAAAGCGTGAAACCCAGGGTCACAAACTCACATCTATCCAACCAAATATGTTAGCTCTATTTCTGATATTGAGCGCTTTCTAATAAGTACCGCGCATATAATATATAAATAATTATACATACTTATATTTATTTATATTTATATACACTTTTCACATATATATATATATTTGGTACAGTTGGTATGTTGTTCGCTTGACAACCCAACTGTCAGGGTTTCGATACTTGGTGATGGATGCGCACTGCTGATGAGTCCCAATTATAGGACGAAACGGCCGTCCGGTGCTTCCTCTATTTCCTGTTGAGGTTTCTATCAGACTCAATGAATCAATTGAATATAATTATCAAATCCTCCTACTTATTATATATATATATATATATATATATATATATATATATATATATACGGGTGTAACAGGAAAATTGCCCAAATCGTGTAAAAGCAAAGTTATTCATTTGTTGGATTAAGTTTGAACCGTTTTATCTTAGAAATGATTAAAGATATGCTACTGGAATTCTCCGCTGTTTTATGACACTATTGGACTCTACTTTGAGCAATAAGAATGTCTAATTACACTCCAAGCTTAAGAAACGAATAGTGATGAAATCGATTGTAATCGAAAATAACATGTTCATCATTAATTAATCATACCTAAGGATCGGAAGCTCATTATCGATTGAAATTGAGTTCAAATATATTATTCCAGGATCCTGCAGTAACAAGGTGCCACAAAAGTTTCAGGTACGATTTCACTTTCAAGTCTTTTTCACTGCCCTCAGGACGGTCATAGCTGAAACTCGTCTCTCAAGTGCCAAACGTCTTATGGATTGAATTGGATTATTGTAATGGATCTCTTTAGCTCCGTGGAAATGATGATACCTCTTTCTGTTGTAACCTCCTGATCCAGGTTTCCTTTTTAGCGTTCCCTCGTTTTAAACTTATTTACCGTTCTGTTGATCGTTCTTGAATGCACTTTGAAGCTGTAAATCAGAGTAGGAATGTTCTTGCCATTATTGAAGGCCTGAATAATCATTTGCCTCTAACCGTTGCTTAATTTTGGAAGAAAATAGGGCTAACACAAAAACGATTTAACCTGTTCTTTTTCTAGCTGAATAAGTCAAAGGGTTGTTAGGTGGTTCTTATGACAAACATGACCAAACGTCTTATATGAAAAGCTGGAAAAAAAAAAATGAAATTAGTTTATTGTTTTTTTAGACATTAAATATTTTGTGGTATGGACAATTATACTGTAAATATATATATATATATATATATATATAATATTAGTGGTCAATATATATATATATATATATATATATATATATATATATATAATATTAGTGGTCAATATATATATATATATATATATATATATATATATAATATTAATGGTATATATATATATATATATATATATATATATATATATATATATATATATATATATATATAATATTAGTGGTCAATATATATATATATATATATATATAAATTTCAAAAGGATAGAATCCACGTAGAAGTCAATGTTCAGGATAGAGTAAGAATATAATATAAAAGACTCAAACACTAATATACCCTGGCTATAATTTATTACATTGGAATCGTAATCACGATCCAATTCATCAGACCTACAATTTTCCAAAAAATAATGTTAGTGTATGAGCCTATTTTATATATATATATATATATATATATATATATATATATATATATATATATATATATATATATATATATATATATATATGTATGAAGTAAGATAATGTCGAAAGTTAATAGTGATTGACTGATATAAATATATTTAAGTTTAAAGAAAAATAATAATTATCTCTCACTTTCTTCACTTTGACATCTATTCAATCAATTTTACTGCTAAATCATTCGAGATAGACGGTCTCCTCCTAAAACTTATACCTGTTTCTGATTGACGTAAACCACTTTTTTTTTTTCTCTGCAAGTCTTCGCCCCAAAGTTTACAGAAACTTCCCAATATATTTTGGGAAAATATATCTTTTTGCCACCTCCAACTAAATAAGGTGATGTTTTTTGAAACCTGGGCCATAGATTTTTACAGAGTTGCATCATTAAATCATGCTTGTCTCAAAAGATATCTTTCTAGCCCACTCAATTTTCTTTTTTTTTTTTTTTTTGTCTTCTATTTTCTTTTTTCTCTTGGTTTAGCTACTGCGGAAGTGGACTTTTCTGTTAGTGTTTCATTCATATATATATATATATATATATATATATATATATATATATATATATTAAAATGTTTGTGTAGCTACATCTGTCGATTTCTTTTTTTGTTGTTTTTATAAGCTGTACTCTTTCTTTCCGTTTTTTTTTCGTTTCTGTTTTATATCTCGTCCTTTTTTTGTCGTTCTCGAGAATTCTCGTGTTACTTCACGCTCTTCTTTTTTTTGTTTCTACGTATTTCTCGCTTTATTTTATATTATTTCCTTTTTCTTTTTCCTTTTTCTTTTTCATTCTTCAATCTATTATTATATCTATAGCTATTATTAATTGTATTCGGGTTTCTGTTTCGTTGTCCTTCTGCAAATTATTTCCCTCTTGTTCTTTCTTTCTCATTCAGCAGTTTCCTTTTTGGCTCCTTCTTTTCGAATAGTAATATTTCTAAATTTTTTTTCTTCTGTTTACGTCCCCTTTTCGTTCTTTTTTTACGTTCACTTATTTCTTCTAAAAAATTATTCCCTTTCCTTCTTTTATTCTCTCTTCCTTAACCTACTATCTTTCTCTTTTCGGTAATTTCTTTCTTTTTATTGTCTTCCGTACCAATTCCTATGTCTTATTATACTTCATATTATTTTGCCATTCTATCCATATTTCTTCATTGTATTTCTTCCTCGGTGTTGTTCTTTCTTTCTTTCTTTCTTTTATTTTTTCCCTTTATATTCCAATCCTTTAATTTACATGGTTTCTTTTGTTTCTTTCTTTCTTTCCACATTTTTTATGCTTTATTCTGCAACGATTTCTTTCTTTCCCTCTTCCTTTCTTTCTTTCTCTTTTTTTAAATTTTCCCTTTATATACCAATTTTAATTTACAACCAACCACTAATTTACATGGTTTCTTTTGATTCTTTCTTTCTTCCGCTTATTTTTCTCAGGCTTTATTCTTCAGTGTTTTCTTTCTTTCTTTCTTTCTTTCTTTCTTGCATTATTCCTTTCTTTCTTTCTTTCGTTTTTTTTTGCAGATACTTTAATTCTTTGTTTTCTTATTATTATGTTTTATTTGTTTCTTTGATTGCTTCTTTATTTTTTTCTTTATTTCCACCTATTTTTCTATTCTTCAATGTATTCTTTCTTTCTTTCTTTCTTTCTGTCACTGATCTTTTTTCTTCTTACCATGATTTCTTCCTTCCTTCGTTTATTTGTTTGTTCTTTCTTTCTTTCTTTCTTTCTTTCTTCTTTGCCTTTATATTCCAGTTTTTTTTATTATACAGGATTTTTATTACTTGTTTATTTGTTTCTTATTCTTTCTTTCTTTCATTCTTTCTTTCTTTCATTCTTTCTTTCTTTACACTTACTTTTCTATTCTTTTATTGTTTAGCTTTTATTTTTTCTTGATGTGTTTTTTTTTCCATTTATCTATCTTTGGCCCCATATTTCAATTCTTTTATTTTCTGTTCATTATTTTCCTTCCTACCGTTTATTTATTTCTTTCTTTTTTTGTCTTTCGTTTCTTTTTCACTTATTTTTCTCTTCTTTTATTTTACCAGCTTTTCGTACAATTACCCTTTCCTCATTATCTTTATTTCATTTTCACTTCCTTTCTTCTTCCTTTTTCTTTCCTTAATTCTTTATGAATTTTGTCCTTTGACACTCTCGCTTTCTTTCTTACTATCTGTCTCCACATACGTAACGTCACCCTCCGTTCACTCACACACACACACACCTGCCCAGCCATTTGCGATTCAAGCGAAAACTTACATTTCGCACCCAGCTACACCATTTCTTCTTCAATAATAATCCAAGAAAAAAAAAAAAATATCGCTTTCTCTTCTCCATTTTCCAGCTCGGCAGGATTCTCTGTTTCAGCAAGACAGGGAAAGAAAGAGACTGAAGGAGAGAGAGTAGAAAACGACGGCTCTAAAAATGTTTTCGATTTTGCTGCCCTCAAGCGATGGAGAAGGTTATTAGGGCTAGCCCCAGGATAATTGTGGCCGAAAAGAGATTTTCACATATTATTGACGTGTTTTCGTGCGGGCGCTCCTCACTAAGCGCTGATGTGTACATTCTTTTCTGCGAGGAAATATCTTTGCGGTTCTCCGTTTTTCTCTGCGTCTATGAGAAGCGAACAACTTGAATGACAAAGGTGTACAACTATCGCGTTGGATCTTCAGTTAATTCGATGAAAAAAATCCTCTTCTTCATATGATGTCCGTATTTATTCCGAGAGGGGAAGAGGGGTGTATACATGTTTTTATATTCATTTCCAGTTTACCTGTTTATCTCCGAAAACTAACAATTAGTCTCAGAATATATATATATATATATATATATATATATATATATATATATATATATATATATATATATATATATGCGTATGCGTGTTTGTGTGTGTGTGAATCAAGGAGGATAATCTTACAAATTATAATTGTAAATACTTAAAAACAACATTAATATTTTTATATGTTTATTCATATATATATATATATATATATATATATATATATATATATATATATATATATATACACCATTCGTTCTTGCATTGATTATTGCTACCACATATGGCCTGGTGCTTCTGCTATGTATTTACAGACTCTTGATAAAAATCAAAGACGAAACTGCAATGTTGTCTGTCCTGAAATGGCATCTCAACTTCAATCAATTTCCCATTATCGTAACGTAGATTCCGCGTAGTTTTTCAATAAATATTTTCATGGTAATTCTTCCGATGAATTTTATTTCCGATTTTAGAAACTTAAGCACAGTACCTGATTGGCGGCAAGGTCTCATTATTTCGCTGATGAAATCTCTAAATGTAGCAATGAGTTCTATGCTTACATTTTCTTCTTTCTCATTACACACTTGTGGAACTCTCTTTCGACCTCTTGCTTTCATGTCAACTTTGAACTTCTAAAAATTATATGGAATGTCGAAATCGTTCTTTTTCTGTCGTCTTAATTCCTGTTCTTTTATTTTTTCTCTCATATTCTTTCACACTCTGTTACCACTTGGTTGGGAGTAATGATTAATATATATATATGTGAAAATATATAGAAAATAGGAAAGAACTCGTTAGGTAAATAATCCAAATTTCTTTAGTATTTTGTTATTATTTTTTAAAAATAGTGCTCGATACAAAAGTAGAGCATAAATATAATTATTTATTTAAAAATATGATTCCAACACCCTACATAAGGGTCTCATGTTTCAAAAACAAGAAAAAACTTCAATAAATATTTGAATTAAATTGAATTAAAGTAGCTCTGTTCCATCTTCAAGTGAAATTTTTTTCGCTTGAAGATGGAACAAAGCTAGTACTTTAATTCAATTTAATTCAAATAATTATATTGAAGTTTCGGCTTTTTGTTTTGAAACATGAGACCTTGTTGAATCATATTTTAAATAAATAATTATATATATATATATATATATATATATATATATATATATATATATATATATATATATATATATTTGTTAATATAAAGTAAATAGAATAAAATACATCTGCAATTAAACCTAAACTTATTAATCTATTATATAGCAATTAAATACATACTAATTATAAACAGGATGAACATATCCTAAAAAAATAGTCAATACTAATAGACCCACCGAGGATCCTAGTAAAAAAATGAAATTAATTATATACTATACTAAATACAATATATTCAATGTAATCATTCGTAATGACTGCACCCCAGCAACTAACGTGTTGCCGAAAACCAAGAGTGTATTTAAATTGAATCTCCAAAAGAAAAGTAATATATGTTGGCCATACCACTACTACGTTGTCTCGAAGATTTAATTTTCATTTGAATGATGCATCTAACATCTCTCAATATTTACCAAAGCATGCCTGATCACATTCGCAATTTAGGAAATTTGTTGTTGAAAATGCATCTATATTTTTCATGAAAATAAAAAAAAACTTAAACTAAAAATACTTGAAGCTACCTATATTAAAATTTGAAACCAACCATTAATAAATCAATTATGAATACTGCACAAATGTTTTAAAATATTCTTAGTAACTATTTTAAAATATCTTGGTTTTAACTAATAGTTTTAATATATATATTTGTTAATATTTACATATAGTTGATGTTTGCGCGTATGCCGACAGGACAG